TTTCTTTACTAAGCTATAAAATCACTTACTACAAATCAATTATTTTTTGTTCTGATTTATTAACTGCTCTCCAGCTGTTCAGATTGGCACTTAAGACAATTCCTGGACAGCCATACCTCTCAATAGAATCTTCTCTGGAGTACCGTTGGTCCGACTTCGCTGTAGTCTTCCCTGCTCACCCACATGTTGCGAAGCGATGTTAAGTTGGCGAGCAACGAGGCGCCAACCCACACGGAGTGCACCCGATTTTTTGGCGAGATGATCTTGATGTGGGTTGTGCTGGGGACTTTTGCCTGGAGCTCCTTCAGGAGCCTCTCCTTGAAACCTCGGAAAAGAGTGGAGCCGCCCACAAGCACCACGTTCCTCAGCACGTCCGTCTGGATGTGAGCGCAGCACCTGGCAGCGCTCTGCAGGATCATCCCCACCACCCCTGCTCCTTGGATTTGCACCTCTGCAGGTGCAAAAAGCGCCTCAGGAGCTCGGAACAGCTGATCTCCTGCCTTGACAGTCCTTCCATCAGGCAGCATGTACTCGCACATCAGATTTTCAGGCTTTTGCTGCATTTTTTTAATAGGATCTAAAGCGACGTAGCACAGCTTTTCCTTCATATCCCTGACTATCTCCTTCTCTGTTGGGCTCACAAAGGAGTGCCCCGTCTCCAGGAGGAGCCTGGCCAGGTACTTGGTGACCCCTCTGCCTGCAAAATCCAGCCTGGTAACACCCTGCAGCAGGCAGCTGCCTCCATGGATGGGGACGGTGACGGTGACGCCGTCTCCACTGTCCAGCACCATGCCGGTGGTTCGGGCGCAGGCATGGAGGGCTGCCAGCCCCTGCAGGGCCACGTAGAGCGCGGGCACCTGGAAGCTCTCAAACATGAGCTCAGCCATCTTCTCTCGGTGGGACGGGGGGTTGAGGGGGGTCTCGGTCAGCAGCAGCGGCCCCTCGCTGGGTTTCACTCTGAGCTCATGTTCATACAGGTATCTCCAGATCTTCTCCATGTTGTCCCAGGATGTCACCATTCCGTTTTCCATTGGGTAAGTTAAAGACAAAATGCCTCTTTTGGACTGAGCCTCCTCCCCAACATACCAGTCCCTGTGCTCCATCCCAATCATGACAAACGTGAATTTGGGGTACCCCACAATGGTAGGAATAACTGAACGGGGTGCCTGCTCCCCTGACAGCCCGGCCTTGCACTGCCCAGAGCCATTGTCAAAAACTACCACTGGGGTCCCAGCTGCCGCTATACTTGACATTGCACACAGGATGGGCAGCACTGCAGCACCAGAAGCACCCGAGCATTCTGTCCCTGCATCACAAGAGGGCACAGCCCCACCGAGCTCACAAAGCCCACAGTGGCATCTGCCATGGGTGCTTGGGAGGGAAGCTGGGTGTTCACACTTCCCTGATAAATTACGGCAGAGAATCAATGAATTTTTTCAGGCCCTCAGGCACAGAGGAGGGTCGGCTACAGTAATTGCATTTGCATTGATTTATATTTGGATTCTGTTTGGGGGTTTGCTGGGCTTTGAAAGGAAACATTTTTAATGAGGTTAGAAATAACATGCGATTTGGCTTTAGAATAGAAAAACCCAGATATTGCAAAGAGCTCAGAGGGAAGAACCTCCAGCAGAGGAGGTGTGCTGCTCCCTGAGTGACTCCTAGAGAGGCTGTGTGACAGCTGGGAACCACTGCATCCCTGTGACTGTGAGGAAAGGAAGGAAGAAATGGTGAGGTGTATAAGCAGTGCTCCCCTTGGAGAAGATAAGCAGTAAGAGGAGTCAAAGCCCCGGTTAGCAATGATTTCATGTTTTATTTCCACAAAGGATTTGTCAGCCGGGAAATGCGCAGCAGTTTCAGCCCCCTTCTGCTCAGTCTGCCCTCATCAGGGCTCGCTGTTCACGCTTTGCTATGAAGACATCCACTTGGTCTGACGTTCTCCTTAACATTTCCTGTGGATGACAGCTGCCCCAAAATCCCTGTAGTCCCTCACAGTGATCCACATTGATTTGAAAGAGGTCAGGCAGGAGAGGATGGAGGCCCCGACCCACACGCTGTACTTTCTCTCGGGGGGTGCAATGATCTTCACGAGCATGCCCACAGGCACTTGCAGGTGCAACTCCTTCAGGATGCGCTCCTCCAGGCCAGGGAAGAGCGTGGATCCTCCCGAGAGCAGCACGTTGCCATACAGATCCCTGCGCACATCGATGTCGCACTTTGTGACGCTGTTGAAGAGCATTTTGTGCACCCCGGGTGCCTCAATGCCAATGTTTCCAGGTACAAAAAGGGTCTCTGGTGCACGAAAGAGCTGGTTGCCTATCTGGATGATGTTGCTGTCAGGTAATCTGTATTCTTTCATGATCTCTTCTGGACTTGCTTTCATTTCCAGAGCGGGGTCCAAAGCCACATAGCACAGCTTCTCTTTGATATCTTTCACGATTTCCCTTTCAGCGGTGCTAACAAAAGAGTATCCGCTCTCCAAAAGGAGCCTCATAAAATACTCTGTGATATCCCGGCCAGCGACATCCAGCCTGGAGACAGCATGGGGCAGGCAGTACCCCTCGTAAATGGGGACGGTGTGGGTGACGCCATCCCCGCTGTCCAGAACTATGCCTGTGGTGCGGGCTGACGCGTAGAGGGCCAACGCAGCCTGGACTGCGATGTACATGGCGGGCACCATGAAGCCCTCAAACATGATCTCTGTCATTCTTTCCCGGTTCTGCAGAGGGTTGAGGGGGGGTTCTGTCAGCAGCACGGGTCTTTCGCTGGCTTTCACTCTCAGCTCGTAGTCGTAGACGTGCCTCCAGATCCTTTCCATGTCATCCCAGCATGTAACGATGCCGTGGTCAATGGGATAATTCAAAGTCAGGATCCCTCTTTTGGACTGAGCTTCTTCTCCCACGTAGTATTCTTTCATCCCAGCTCCCAGCATTGCAGATTTGACTCTTGAGCGACCAACGATGGATGTGATAACTGACCTTGGGCCACCGTCACCTGCGATCCCCGCCTTGCACAATCCAGACCCGTTGTCAAAGATTACTGCTGGGACGTCCAAAACGCTGGGGTCAAACATTCCTCACAGAGCTGACAGCTCCCCAGAGCAGCTCACTGGCAGCGTTTTTCTGTTTTTTCAGTGTTTTCACTGAGTTTTAAAGGTTGGTCACCGTTGCCAGGGAAGTCTCTTTGGGGGTGTGCAGCCTGGGGGTGGGCATGTCTGCCCCCAGCTACCTCATAAAGGCCAGTGATAGAATAATATATTTCCCTGCAAGATACAGCATTCCAAACACTTCCCTGGAAATGGCTAGGGCAGCTGTGCCACGACTCCAGCCAGGGGAACGCCTGTTCACCAAGTCCATCCATAAGCCACAGACCATCAGAGGTATCCCCATACTGAGCCTCACAGCATCTGTTTCTCAGAAGGGCAGGTACTGCAAAATACTTTTATGGCAATAATAAAAGGCTTCACATGTACCATGGCTTAGCTACTTACACGTAATTCTAAGAGCTGGTGAAGATTAGGATAGTTTTGGCTGCCTACAGGTGCTAACTGCATTGCTGGTTTGCTTTTGTGCAGAGCATCTGCGCTGGAAGAAGGCATTTTGCAACAAATGCTTTTATAGGAAACTTCTGAAAAATACTTTTAAATAGGTAGAACTACGTTGGACACTGCCTGTGGCATTCTGGAGTCCTTTTTTCTATCCCAATGCTCAATTTAAAGACTATTTTTTGGTAAAAACACAAAAGTGAAAAACAATCTCTGCCTCTCGCTGGTTTAAGAATTCCCATCAGCTTTAAGCAGCACCGTTTGGTGGGAAGGAATCCCTTCCCCTAATGAATCTCTGTGCTAGGCTGCTGCTAAGCTGACCTGCCTGCAAACAGGCACACAGCTGTCCTCCTTGCACGCCTCCCTTCCCCTTCAGCACTCTGCTGAACTCTTCAATGGAACGTTTTGAAAGAGGGTTACAAATGTCCTGGATCCTCACAACCGATCCCCATTTCGCCTCTCATTATTTTTTCCTTTTGCTTCAGGACAAAATTTCCCACAGAAGGAAGTTTCTGTGCTTTTGAATCCAATTGGGTTTGACAATCCAAATCCACTTACAGAGAAAATTTCCTCTAAAGAAAAAAAGTCACTATATAACTTCAGATCGAACCCTTGGCTACTGCAGCTTAATTGCTTCTCCTTGTGGCTCTTAATCCAGGGCAGCTTCAAAGCCAGGGTGGCTTCTATTAAATTTAATTACTTTTTCTTGCAGCTTGCATGGCAGAGGTGCCAGCTACGAAAGGAAGGTGGCTATGAATCGGAGGCAGATTCCAAACAAAGACATACTTTAAACAGAAATGTTAAATGCAAGCAAATGATCCCCTTGTAAGGCGTTTACACCCCAGATGAGCCACTAAAGAGGAAAACAAGGGGGCAGCTCAGTGTGTGTTATTTCCATCCTGCCTGAATTCCAGACCTGTTGGCGTTAAACGCCACACTATCCATTTTAGCAATTTCTCTAATCCTCTTAATATTTGTGTACATATATTTCAGCGTGGCACACTTGTTTTCATGCATGCTTCTATATTAATGTCAACAGGTGTCCTAATCACTTAAGACGCTGCTATATTCATCACACTGGAAGCCCCATTTAGTCCTCCATGGCCTGCCTGCAGCTTGCAGGGAAGCACTCCGTTTGGAACATGGTGTTTGGTATTAAAACAGGGGAATATTGACTGTGATCATTAAATGGCTGTTGGACCTAGGTGCAGGAATGCTCATCTGTTCCTTCATATTGCTCCTGTCATAAATCGCCTTAGAAAGAGTATGTGGGATTGACTGTGTTGCTACAGGGTTTATAATAGAGTGATATTGCTGCCTGTGCTCAGCAGAAGCACTGTGAGCTGCCTTTACAGAAGAGACACTGGGTTGTAAAACCCAGAGATAGCAAAACATGCTATGGTTTGGGGCCATTCTTGCTCGCTTTATACATCAGTGCTGAGCACGTATTTGCACTTACTGGCTCGAGCATGTTCTTGTGCTCGGCTGCATCGAGTCGCTGCTGGGCTCCATCCTCCTCCACAGGTGTCTTCTGTGTGATCCAGGTTGTGATGCACTCTGGAAGGTCTTCATTTCCCTGTGGTAAAACCAATGGGAGAAGGATCAGCTCACTCAGCCTGTGCCAACACAAACCCCACACATGTAGCATCTATAGTGGAAGAAGTAAAAACCTAGACAGGATCACCAGCAGAAAAGAGACACAAGCAGAACCAGGCACTGGCTGAGAGATGTTCCTCTCCCTGCTTTGCCACGCCAGATTATTTTGGGATCTTCCCCACTTTTTCTTTCTTAATTACCTACAAGCTCGAGGAAGGATTCAAGAAGCAACACAAACCTTATGTTTAGAATACCATCACATATGGGGGACACAAGGGAAAGTGTCCACCCTTCTCCATGCCCTAAAACCCTCAATTGGTGGCTCAGTGCGCACAGGAGTGGAAGGCCAGGGAGAGAGTGAAAGGAATCAGGGGCAGAATGAGCTCCCAGCCAGCAAGAAGCAGTAATCACCATCACAGATGCTTAGCCCTAACAACTCAACAAGACCCCTTTCTTCACATAGGAGCTGTGTTTGATTGCTCCCATACTTGTTTCCACCCAAAATCCCTGTTTCGCAAGGTCTTCGTGACACTCCAAATATCCACAATGCTCTTTGAAGTTGAATTTTAATGTGTTTATTGACACCAGTTATGATATTTCAAAACATATGGCCTACAAATTGTTACCATGCACTCCTGGTGTTTACAGTAATCCCCATATTAAAACAAACTCAGCCTTTCCTGATGATTTTATATCTTCTTGCTGACTCACTTGCCTGTGTTTATTTAAACTCCTGTTGAGCTTTTTTTCAATCTATATATATACATACATATTCAACACTTTTGAAACACAGAACAACTATTTGCAGATTTCATATACTTCAGAAACGTTTTGCATCCATTTTTATGGGCACCATATGGCCCAAGCCCTCCTCTTCAGTCCTCCCTGCAGATCCTTGATGTGCAGCATGGCTTTCCCAGCACTTAACCCTGCACATGCAGCTCAGGCCTGATCACAGAACCACGGGATCATTAAGGTTGGAAAAGGCTTCCAGGACGATCCAGTCCAAAAGCAACCCAGCGTGCCACTGCCCTCGTCCCTCATCTCCACCTCCAGGGATGGGGACTCCCCACGTGGCTGTGCCTCTGCCTCACCACTCCTTTGGAGAAGAAATGTTTCTTACTACCCAACCTAAGCCAACCCAGCACAACTTAAGGCCATTCCCTCTCATCCCAGCAGCTTGGCCCAGAGCTGCCCTCTGAGCTCTGTGTTGGAGTCTGCAGGCAGGGAAGGTTTTGGAGGAGCACATAACTGCTCATCCAAAAGGGTTTGGTCAGATCTTCCTTCCTTTCATCCATCCCATGAGGGCACCTCGGCTGTGCTGGCTGACATCAGGAAGGAGAGTGTGCAGCCCGACCCCATTAATGGCCCCAGAACATTTCCAGGCCCTCTGGAAAGCAATGCTGAACAGAGGTGTTAATTTTGGCAGTGAACAAAAGCACCGGGGGAGTAAAATCAATGTTCACTAAATAGAAAAAAGGAATCTAAACAGAGGGAAAACACATTCATTTTCTAATTCCTAAAAGGTATTCAAGGGAGGGAAGTGAAATTGTAAACAAATTATAAAATGTATAAAAAATTACAACTCGTTGCCTGTTTAAAGGAGACTTAAATTACTACACCGCTAAATTGGAACAGCTCTGAGGACTCAGTCATGCTCCTCTACTCTTTAGACTCACAAAGTCTTGCTGGTATCTCTAGGGGTGCCTGGATTTAATAGTAACATCTAAAATGCTGTAAACCCTGCAAGTGATGAACAACTGGGAAGGTGTGGAACCCACTGGGATTCAAAGTTAATTCAGACAATTTGGAATTCAGCATCTGAGGACTACTCAGACTTACGCTATTTTCCACGTTGGGAAAAAAAAAAGTAAGAGCTATAGCGAGGAATGATATAAATTATGCATGCATAAAAGACTTTGGGTTGAAAATTAATACATTTAAAATAAATAGTCTTGGCCATTTGAAAATGAAAAGCCCAGGAATCAGGTAACACAATTTCACCAAGCTGAGCTCCAATCACTCAGCCACAAATGAACCTTTCCTGGGGAAATGGCAAAGCTGAGGCCACAGAGAGCTCCTGCTCCTACAGGCTGCCCATGAAGAATTACAGGAGGAAGGGAACTGCGGTTGGACTTGATGACCTGTGGTTGATGATCTTTAAGGTCTTTTCCAACCTGAGCCATCCTATGATTCCATGAAAGTCCCCTATGCCAGATCAAAGGTGGTGCTCCAGGTCTGCCCATACCAGAGCGTTTGCAAAAGACAGCAGTGATGCTGGGATTTTGAGACAGGAAGAAAGGGAAAGCACAGCTCTACCCTTGGAACACTGTTAACTCAGCACTAAATGCACCCTGAGCCGCTCTGGAACCTCGCTGTTACTTTGCCATTACTTCTAACTGTGCTCCGATGGCTGCTGGGCTTGGATTTACGCTCAAATCATTAAAAGCTGCATCTGAGGTATGAAAGCAACAAGTGGAAAGCATTCCCATGAAATATGCAAGATCTCTGGAATTGAGCCAGTGGTTTAGGTCAAAACTCAGTCACATGTCCTGCTAGCTGGTCCGGAACATCCTTCACATCCAGCTAAGCAAACAGCGCGCAGAGCCCTGCGCCAAGTGCCAGCTCCAGCTGGCATCCCGGTATGCTTCATTCTACAGTTGTTGCAGTTTTGGAGGTTATGAAAAGTTTACTAATGAGAAACATTTCAGGACGCTGTGCCAGCAATTTGGGCTGAGGGAAGAGCTGTAATGACACGAGCATATATAACTGGTGGAAAGTCTGAAACATCAGCTCTGCGCCTGTAAATCCCTGCAGCTCCGAACACGGAGAGCAAGCACACAGATTTCTCTTCAGATGTTTACACTCTGCTTTCTAAATATTTAAAACCATTGATGAAATTAAAGACAACTCTCACCGTGTTTTGTTCCTCAGTTATTTGGTCCGTTTTGGTGTGGTTCTTCTGTAAACATGAACCAGATACAGCCAAAGGAAGCACCGAGCAGCCAGGCTTTCTTAGCAAACAGTTTCAGTAATCTACAGGAATCCAACTGACCTTCCCAAATTCTGTGGAAAGTAACGCATTGATGTGATTTCTAAGGAAGAAACCCTTGCAAGCAATGCTGGCTGTGCACCAGCACAACGTTCTCGTGTCTCATATTTGGCAGTCTGGTACTCCCCATGCTTGGATCATTGACCTGAGCCATACCTACGTGCTGCCACCAGTTGTGTCCTTGTGTCCTCAGCATCTCAAACAGCAGAAGGAGCAGCTGTGAGCTGCAGAAGATGGGGCTGGAGGAGCTGCAGGGCAGGACCGTGGTATCTGCTCCAGATACAGAGCCCCTGTGGCCAAGGCTGAGTGCCAGAGGAGAGGCAAGGAATCACTGCACTGGGGTCTCACAACAAAATGATCTAAAGAACTTTCCCAACCGCTGCGCATTTCTTTCTTTCATTTTCCAAGTCGTCCCTTGGCTGGTGCTCCAGCTGGCATCCAGCTGATATAAAAGCAATACAACTACGGATCCCATGGGCTTTCTAGCAGAATATTCAACATATTAGAAGAGAAGGCAGAACTAGAGAAAGTGCAAGCAAAACCCCTGTTCCCATCTTCACCCTAAGACAGTGCTCGGGGGCAGTAGGAGCGCAGTGTTTGTCTATCTACCAGTGCTATTCATCACCACATTTACCATATTTTCTTTACTTTCCATAACTCTTGGCTTCTCTCATGTCTGGGTGTTTTCTAACCAGCCTAAAGGCAATAAATCAGAGCTGTCAGCATTGGAAGAAAATTAATGTGAGAAGTTGTTCCAAAGGCCACCAGCCTTTTCCCTGCTCTGTGTGCTGTGTTAATCCAGATTCCTCAATGGCTTTCAATGTTTTGCTATTTTCACAAGGTTTGGAGGCTACAGATGCATTTTTTTGAAGGGCAGATTTGAATTTTATCCTGTAGGGTACCAAATTCCTGGGGTTTCTTCAGATTTCAGAGAGAAGAGAGGATGCTCAGCACAGGCCCAGGTCTGACCCTGACCCTGGCCAAACCACAAGCAAAGTCCAGATCCAGAGTTGGAACACGCCAGGGTCTGAATCTGGACGTTTGGCTTGGATTTACATGAAGAAAAAGGCCAAATGATTCAAAAACATTCCTGTTCCTATGCCCTGTAGTGATGACACCGGTTGAATTATTCATTGCGAGTTATTTATCCAAAGAATGTGGCTGGCATTTCTGCTGAATAAATTACTTGCAAGTTTTGATTTCTTGTTTCATTACTCACCCTGCTCAGTACCACTCAAACTCCAACCTCTTCATCTCTGAAAGTCTCTTTTTCTGAGTCTGAGAAAAAGAACACTTGGGAAACAACCTTCAGCTGGTGCTGATCTGATACAGCAAACACCTCCCTGGGAAAGGACAGCCTGGCAGTCACAGCATTTTCTTGGAACCCAGGGAAGCAGTGTTCTTACCCTGTTCAGCTGCAGGTGAACTCTGTAACCCTGGGCAAATCACTTGGCTCCCCACACCTCTGGCTGCACATTTATAAAATGGACACAGTGGTTCCCTCTGTAAGATACTGTAAGGCTAGATATGTTAAAGATGATGAATTGCCCCGTCGCTATGGAAACTGGAAAAGCACCTAATGCAGATGGATGAGCTCAGAAATAGTCCAACTGAGTGAAAAGTCACGAGCAATTGAGAACTTCATTAGGGAAAATCTGTTGTGTTGTAATCAGCAGCGTTGTGGGTGCAGCTCAACACTTCCTCTAATAGAAGTACCACCCTATTAGAAGATCTATTCTGGATGGACAGTGAAGGTTTTCCCCTGTGTACCTTCAAGCTTTTCCATCGCATGCACCTGCTTAGATTTCTTTTGCCCTGATAGCACTGGGCTCTGAGGGAGCTACTCAGTATGGTGTCCCACCAGAGAAAGAGCATTAAAACCAGAACAGCGAGGGCACAAACCAGCCCAGAAGGCTCTGATTGTTTTGCCCAGGTTCTACATAGATGTGGAGTTTACTTGCTTCTTTCTCAGAACAACAAGAAGCCAGGGCTTTCAATTCCAACAGGGCCTATGGCTGAGGGAGTGAAAGCCATGGAACTGCAGGCAAAGGAAATGCCAACAATTAAAGCAGTCATTGTGACTCTGGAGCAAGAAATAAATGCCTACAGGGTGATGAGAGACTGAATAAACAAAGCAAACAACGCGTTATGCTGCACAATGGCACTGAGCAGTGACTGCAGCTGGCAGCCCAGCCCTACCACACCAGTAACACACCAGTAACACACCAGTAACACATCAGTAACACACCAGTGGCACACCAGCAGCACAAGGGAAGTGCCCCCAGCACCCCTAGGCAGCCATGTGTGTTTGGGTCAGTGCTGTTGTCACAATCAAGGCCATACTATCAGCATCTGTTTTTCTGGCAAGAGACGGCCCTGTCCGGGAATCACGAGCATCAGAAATTATTCTGCAGGAATTATTATTATTGAAATGGAAGTATTGATGGGGAAATGATGACAGCAGCAGTTGGATGCCATAATAATGATGACTTTGACCCTGCACTGCACTTTGCAGCTATGAGGCATATTCCAAACTACTTCATTCGTCTGCATCATCAGCTGCTTCATGATAGTAGAAAGCAATGAAAGCTACAGACGTTCTACTGACACCAATATTCCACAGCAATCACTAGCATCCCCAGATCACACACACAGCTAAAATGCCACGTGTAAGTGTGAATGAGAACAGACAGACTACATCCAATCTGGAAAGGTGGAGAACGGTCAACCTGCAATTTCTGGGCGCACTGATAGCACAGTGTCTGCTGCCTTGGGTGGCTGAGGTCCAAGGGCAGACCTGGGATATGGGTCTGTCGTGGGCAGGACACCCCAGCCCTCTGTCCCTGAGTGCTCAGCAGGAATTCACAGGGCTTTACCGGAACCGGCCTCAATTCCCCTACACTGTTTGCACAGTTAGCATTGCCTATGTGTATCCATATGAGGGTAGTGCTTGGAAATAGTCATACAAGTGGAAAAATGAAAAGAAGACATACAGATGCAATCCTTTGTTCCAGGTAACTTCTGGAATTGCTCAGGCAGTGCATGGGAAGCGCTCCCAGCACACACCTCGTGCCCACACCTGGCTGAAGGGCTGGGATGGCACTGCCCGAGTAAAGTCCAGCACGGACGCAACTCAGCCCCTGCTGACTGGCAAATAACTTCATTTACTGTCATTCAGGTGTCAGGTTCCACTTCCTTGTTTACCGAATGTGATGATATCCTGCAGTATCTGGCTTGCACAATGGACTAAGTGAAATAATTTGAGAGCGAAAATAAACAAATGAAAGGGAGTCCTTACGTACATCAAAGGGAAAGTGTGCCATATCTGTGGGACATCGCCACGCTGCCCCACTGGATCCTGGCTCCAAAGCAGAGATGAACTTCAAGTTGCTGCTTCCCAGGCTGCAAGTCAAGAAGCACTTTGCTCCCGTGCCTTGTATTTGATATGCCTGCTGCTTGTCCTCCTGTATTCATAACGTTCACTGAGTTTTTTCTTCCCAACCTGAAGATTTTCCTTCCCCAAAAATGCATTTTACCTCTTACTCCAAGCTGATATATATGCAACTAGGCTAGGCCCAGCAAATCTATGTCAGGAAGGCACTGAATAAAGACACAGGGGAGGAAATCTGCTCCAGGATGTGAGGAGTGGAAAGGAAAAATCTTCTGTTACACCATTAATAAAACCCAGCGTAGCACAGAAGATTTCTTACAGAAAGGATGGAGAGTCCTTCATTAAATGCAGCTAAGAAAAAAACTCAGTGGCTTTTTTTTCACTTGTGGGTGTTTTCTTCTAAGAAAACTGCCCTAATTATGGGAGTAATTAAATTATAATGCCTACACTATTGTTTGAATAAGGCAAACTCCCTCACATGCCATTAATGTGCTACTGCCAACAGCAGCCAGGGAACTGCCTCAACAATGGAGAGGATTTTCCAGCTCAGTGTGCGATTTGATCTCTATAAACCTCCCATAACATATACTGTATGGCAGTAAATCATTTATAACGTTATTATCCGCCCATCTGGGATCAGAGTGCAACCACTGAGACAACTCGAGAAATCTGGGCTCCTTTCAGCACGGCATGAATCGGACCTCACTGGCTTTGGTAATTCAGCCATTCAGCAGCTGGCTCCCACTCCCTGCTGCCCTCATTCGGCTTTCCAGCAGTTTCCTTCCCAGCACTTCCCCAGGCTCTGGTATTTCTATTCTCCGGCATTGCTGATGCTCTCCCTTGTATTTCAAAGCGGTTGTTGCTCAGGTGTGGTTGGCTGGTTGCAGTCCAGTTCCTGGTGAGAGAAGGTTTGCAAGAAAAGACGATCACGTTTTCCAAGGTAGATTTAGACTGTTGTCAGCTTGGGTTGTCACAAGCCATCAAGGGTTGAGAGCCCTTTCCACGCACTCTACCTGCTCTTCCTTCTGCATGAACATCAGCCCAGCTGAATGCTCAGCAGTGACACCAGACAGCGCCTGCCCCATGGAAAACCAAGGCCTGTAAAACACAGCTGCTGGTGGCCCAGAGACTTTGGGCCAAGTTCAAGCTGGAATCACAGAGTGCCATTCAAGTGGTTCCCTAGAGCTTGACCCCCCAAAAAATGTTTGCATGACCTTCTCAGAGCGACCTCTGCCAAATTCCACACAGATCAAACGCATGGGTGTCCAAATATTAAAAATATTAATTGAAACAGAATGTTACCACGTTGCTTGTCACTTAAAGCTTGAATGCACTGTTCTCACATGCAGAAGAGGACAGCTCTGTCCCATAGCATGTCAGAGGGAACGGGGAAAGCTGTGTGACTGGCCATGGTATGGAGAACCTGTCAGTTCTACTGCAGTCCATGGTTTTGTACCATTCTGTTCAGAGAAGACCCTTTTTGAATGTATCAAGCCGCAGGACCGAATTTTGCTTGGATAAATACTGAAGATGACATGAGAAAAGTCCTCCTGCAGTGCCTGCAGTGCTCTGGGCAGTGACAGCCACGGCTGTGCGTTGAGTCCTTGGGAGCACAGAACCTCTGTTAGGGCAGGAGGAGGTTCACCACTGCTCCCATTGCCAACGTGCCCAACTCTGATGGGCTCTGTGCCCTGTCTGAGCACGCTGCCCTTCCCTGCCTTGCAAAGCAGAGATGAGTGACAAACCCTCCTTCTCCTCAGGAGGCCAAATTCAACCCAGAACCCTTCTGGGACGCCCCTCTGAAACCCCAGCCCCGCTCCCCACCTGTCTGCACTGCGGTAGGTCTCCAGCAAAGCCCTTTTTCATCAAATCAATCCCCAGCCCTCCTCAAATGTCACAGCTTTTCAACACACCTGATGGGGCAAAATGTGCCAGGGCTTTGCCTCTGCTGTGTGCTGCAGGGGCTCTATGAGGAGCAAATGCTGCACTGCCAGCTCTCACTTCTCCTCTTCCCATCCCCACCCCACCACCCACTGCCCCATGGGGCTGCCACTGCCCGCCAGGAGTCGGCTCAGATCTGCACCCTGTGCATGGACAGCCTCCCCTGACAGCAGGGACAAAAATAGAGATGCATGTGTGTGTATACAAACTGCGGTGAGCAAAATATCTGTGTCCCCAAAAAGGCCAACAAATATTTACAAGTGCCAGGTGTTCTGCAAGGAACCCCTCTCTACTCGACTCTTTGATGTTCCTGCTGCTATCAGGTAGCTCAGACATCCTAACGGCAAAGCCCGTTTCTTCTGGAAAATCTTTATTCTGAGCTTACAAATCCTCACCTCCTCGACATTTCGGAGCCTCCCAGGCTGAGCACTGCCACGACAAAAGGTTTCTGCAGTGGGAATGCATGCACTGTTCTGCTCACGCCGTACCCACAGCCAGCAGCTCGCAATCCAACACGTGCTCAGCAGCACCATTTAGCCTAATCTAACCCAAATGCCTGTTTGTCATGTAAGCGAGTATCTAAACAGATTATTGAATGAAACATCAATTGCTGGTTAGGAAAATCACTGGGATTATTCAAATTCTAGGAGAGAGGGAAGTAAAGAAGAGTGTTTCAGTAACGTGATCTGCCAAAAGAGAACGGAAACTCCTTAATAGCACCTTGCCAGAAACAATGCGTGGCAGAGTCTGTTTTAAACAAGATGATTTTTCAAAATATTGTTACTGACTTTTTGTATAGTGTTAGTGAGTTTTGTGTACACTAATAAAAAATGAAAGCTGCTATTAAAAACAAATCAATGGACTGTACCTGGTTTTGATCACACGAGAGCTGGCCATTTGCATCGGTATTT